CCTGGGCGGGGCCTGCCGCAGGCCCCGCCTCCTAACCACGCCCACAGGCGGAGCCTGCCGCTCGGCCCGCCCCAGGGAGGGACTCAGAGGCTAGCCATTGAGACCCGGAACCTGGGGAAAGCACCGGAAGGCAACCTCGCGTGGGCTGACCTGACGCCCTGGGCGGTGGGAGGATGTCACGGACGGACTCGTCTTCAGCATCCGTCCAGCCCTGTAGTTAGTTCGTCTCAAAGCCTTTTGGAAATATGGGTGCCGGCCGGGGAAGGCTGGGTGTCCGGCCTAGGAAGACTCCGGGACACTGTAGCACTGACTCGCCTCCAGAGACAGGAAAACCTTACGGAAGCCAGGTTACTGTGGGCAGTGTAACTGCTGCTCAGCCCTTAGCCTCCCCTCAAAGCCTTTTCCTGAAGGACCAACACCCCTGACCTAGGCTGGTGAGCAACCCTTCCTGGATGGACCCAGTAGCCCCCAACACCGGCCTTGTCCCAGGGCTGCCCCCCCTTGCCCCCACCCCTTTCTGGAAATCAGTCCCAGGTCCCCTGGGGTGAACACACGACTTCCCCTCCTGGAATGTGTGCAGGGTGGCCGGTAGGCAGCTTTCGGAGAAGGCTGCTGCTGAATAGTGGGTCACAGATAAACTTGCTGCAACCTAACAGCTATCTCCTTACAACTCCTCAGGCTCCCTTCAGTTACTGGAAATAAACACTGGGCTGGAAGTTTGTCAGCCACCAGGAGGAGGGCTCCCGCCAGGAATGGTGCTGCTAGTCCGGCTACTGGGGATTTCTTGAGCCCAGGAATTCGAGGCCAGCCTGGGCAGCATAGTGAGACTTCCAATACAAGAAGTAAATTCGTTAATTAAAAAAACAAAACAAAAAAGTTCAGTTTACTTAGCATGCACTTAAAACTGTCATAGGATGTAAATGTGATACTACAGTACTTCTTTTTCTTTTGCATTGCTGAGGATAGGACCCATGACATGCTAGGCAAGTACGCTACTCTTGCAGGGTGGGGAAACTTTTTCGGCCCAGGGCCTTTTGGAGACTTGTAAGAACACTTTCTGTGTGTGTCTGTCTGTGTGTGTGCATGCGCGCACCAGTCCTGGGGTTTGAACTCAGGGCCTGGGTGCTGTTCCCTGGGCTTCTTTTGCTCAAGGCTAGTTCTCTACCACTTAAGCCACAGTTCTACTTCTGGCTTTTTGGTAGTTTAATGGAGATAAGAGTCTCTCGCACTTTCCTGCGTAGGCCTCAGATCCGAGCATCCTGAGTAGCTAGGATTACAGGTGTGAGCCACCAGTGTCCCGCCTATATATTTCCTTCTAGTGGTGAATGACAAAGAAGGTACCCATTATACAGAGCAGGATGGTACTGTCTGTAGGCTGCTGGCTTTTGGCTTCTAGGGAACGCTGGCTAGAGTTTGCACACTATTTTAGTCCTTGTCTCCATGTTTTATTAAAGTATACTTTTAAGAGACCTTGTTTTGCAGACAAACATTTTCTTGACTTTCAAATGAATAGGAAAAGAAAACAAGAATGAAACAATGCAATACATGGCCAAATCCAGTTGCTTTATTCAAAATGAACAAGTTTTATCCACATAAAAGTTAAAAATACCAGCCCAATGGCAGACTCCTCAGAGGTGGGAGGGAACAGAACCCCAAGACTGCTCAGTGGTATGACAACTACTGGAGGCCTGGGTGCTCTGGGGCAGTCCAGTTCTTCTGTAGTGACCAGTACCGTCACCAGGGAGACGGCGACTAGGCTGGGAAGAGGGGCATGGGACTGGACATTCTTTGAGCGAATAATGAGACATACTGAAAGTGGGCCTAGCCACTTTCACCTAGGCTTACTAAAAACTACCATTTTATCAAAACCCAAGCAGGGCAGGCAAGCAGAAGCAGCCAGCCTACACTTGAACCCATGACAGTACCAGTACATACATCAAACCAACTTCTCTGTGGGAATGCTACATCTAAAGAACCTATGGCTGTGTCCTCGAACACCTACTTCCTAGACACCTCTTACAACACACTGCAGCATCCTACTCCATCCCATCCTCTCAAGTTCAAGCTCCAAACACCAGCACCAACCACGTACTGTCGCATTCTTTTTTGTTGTTGTTGGTTGTGGGGCTTGAACTTTGAGTCTGGGAGCTGTCACTCAACTCTTCAGCTCAAGGCAAGCGCTCTACTACTTGAGCCACAGTGCCACTCCCAGTTTTCTGAGTGGTTTATTGGAGGTAAGAGTCTCATGGACTTTCCTGCCTGGGCTGGCTTTGAACCGTGATCCTCAGATCTCAGCTTCCTGAGTAGCTAGGATGACAGGCGTGAGCCACTGGTGCCAGGCTGATGCCACATTCTTATCCTACAAAACATGACAACACTCCTTGATTCCTTCCTGAAGAGCTAACACATGCATGTGGTTGGGGACCGTACTTGGTTTTCTGGCTGTGGAAGTGCACACACCAAGTCTCAAACCTGACCCACTGAGCTTGGGACAATGGTACACTTACTGTTCACCAAGCTCTACCAGATCAGGGGCCTGGGCTTGTCCCTGCCCCAACCCCAGCACTGGCTCTAGTACACTGCTGAGCTGCAATTACTAAGGAGGCGGTTCCAAGATGAGGTAAGACGTGGATAATACACTGCACAGTGGCTCTCCCTGCAGGGTGCCCCAGTATCTCAGGCTTGCAAGTTGCACAGGTGCCTGCAATTATGCTACTGTCTTGGGCTTCTGCGTGAGCGATCAGGGTATGTCCTGAAGGTCTTGGGCCCCTCTTCTTCCCACAATCTGATGGGACCCAGGACCCAGCTCTCTGGTTTGATAGAACCAGCTGCCCTAAGAAATAGTCTAAGGCTGCCTCCTTCCCTCTCCTGTGACTGCCACCACTAGAAGGAGCTCAAGCCAGGTGTGAGGAAAGACAGATTAACTCCCCAGTGGGAGCCGTGTCCTCAGTTCCACTTCTACCACGTCCTGATCACCTGGTCACCACTCCATCCCTTCATCACACATGGAGCCCCACCTTGTCTCCATTCTACTTCCATAATGGAGTGGTTGCCCACAGGAACAGTAGGGCCCTCAAGAGGCAAAAGCCACTGGCAGCAGGGAATCTGAATGACAGACACTGCAGGACAGATGACCGAGGCTGATGGGGTGAGCCAGACGCCAGGAGGCACCCCTGGGATCTGAAGAGGTGGGATGCTGATCTTTCAGCTTCTGATTCCTGCTCTGCCACCCAGGTCATGGCATCACACCCCCTGCTGGCAAAAAGCTTCTTAAAAAAAACCCCAAACCTGTTTTAAGCTCACTATGTGGTCCTGGCTATGAACTCCTAAACTCAAGTGACCCTCCTGCGTCCATCTCCCAGCAGGGGTGGAAAGCTGTGCCCAGCTTGTTTCTGGTTAAGCTTGAAAACGGACAGTTGGTGAGGGGCAGCGAGCCAGGCCAGCAGCTATACTAGGGGAGAAATGCTTTCAGATGGCAAGTCATTTAAAAAGCAGGAAGAGGAGAAACACAGTCCAGAGTCTTCCCTAACCACACCTATGCACTTTCTGGCCCACGGGGGACAGCAGGCCCTGTTGTTTCTCGGAGGCAAGGAGTGGGGAGCCAGGACAGCACCGCCTCTGTGAAAGGGAGAGGGTCTCCACCAGCCAGCCGCACAACTGGAGTTTCATGGGGCAGAAGCTAGAACTACCACCACCAAGGACCAGCTTCCTAGAGTAAGGGCCAGTGCACCAGGACACAATGACCCATCTGCCAGAAACTGAACACCCAGAAAAGACCTGGAGCCTGCTGGACATTCCCAAGTTGGGATGGAGAAGCAGCACTGTGCCCACCCAACACACCTGACACCTTCAAGTGTGGCCTTGAGTCTCCCTCATCAATTTGAATTTAATGACAGCTTAAGGCAAGCAGGTGAATTCAGAGGGCAAGAGAGGAAACCTGTTGGTCATCCCAGGCTGTTTAGAAGTGAGTCCTGGGGCTGGGAAGGTGGCTCAGTGGTAGAGTGCTTGCCTCGCATGCATAAGGCGCTGGATTTGATTCCTCAGCACTACATAAGCAGAAAAAGCCAGAAATGGCGCTGTGGTTCAAGTGGTAGAGTGCTCGCCTTGAGCTCAAGAGCTGAGGGACAGCGCCCAGGCCCAGAGTTCAGGCCCCACGACGGGACCAAAAACAGAAGTGAGTCCTGGTGGCTCATGCTTATAAACCTAAATACTCTGGAGGCTGAGATCTGAGGATTGTAATTTGAGGTCAGCAAGAAAGTCTGAGAGACTCATCTCCAATGAACAACCTCCCCCCACCCTCCCAAAAAAAGTGGCACTGTACTAGCCAGAAGTGGTAGAGGACTAGCCTTGAGTGAGAAATCTAAGAGACACTTCCCAGGCCCTGAATTCAAGCCCTGGTACTGGGAAAAACAAACCAACACCGATCCACAAATCCTGCAGACCAAAGACACTATCTCTGAATTCTCTGTGGTCACCCGCCTGCCTGACTGAAGGTCAAATACTTGGGGACACTAGTTACCAGGTCCCTGTGGGACAGAATGGAACCTGTCTCCTAGAACTTCACCCAACTCAAGCTGAGGCAATGAGAAAAATGTACTGAACACCTTCCTCACCACCCCACTTGGCTTTCCTCCCACAGTACTGGGGTTTGAACTCATGGCCTGTGCTTGCTAGGCTATCACTTGCCATACCTATCCCATTTGGTACACAAAGACCACAATGTCTTATCTGCTGTCCCCCTCCCCCGCCCCCCCACCCTCCGCAAAACAAACAAACAGCCTTGAGGTTTCAGAGCCACTCTGGAGAAAGATGGGATGAGAACTTGACAGTTCTGAGCAAGGCGAGGTGCTGGGCACACAGCTGGGTCACTACCTCCTCCAGTGCAGCTTTGGGCCACCGGTGCTATCCAGGAGGGCAAGAGTACTCCTTATAAGACTGTTCATGCACAGATCAGAGCCACTCACTACCCTGGTCTTGACTTGGATATGGTCAGCTGATCCTTACCACCACAGTGGGAATGACTCAGAGACCCTCCAGGCTCATGATCAGCCAGCACCAAATCTTAGCCCAAATCACATGACCCTCGGTGTTTCACTGAGCTAGCTGAGCTTCAGAATCTAGAATCAGAATCAGAATGAAGCGGTAGGACTAGCTCGGCCTCCACAAGTGTCCCTAATCCAGCCAAGGAAAGCACAACTACCTGGAATCAGCATGTAGATGGCACAGACCCAAAGCTGGACAGCATCACTGAAAGCAGTCCCTAATGCCACTTGGAAAAGATGGTCAGGATTTCTCCAAGCCAACCAGGAATCAAACAAATTAAAAAACAAGAGGAGACACTTAAGCAGGGCTGAGGAAAGAAAGCTAAGGCTGAGAAAGGCCTATCCTAGATACAAGCTCCCTTACTCAAGACATCTGACTTTCCCTATGGAGTTCCAGCCAGACTAAATTCAGAAAAGGTGAGAGAAAGGAACATGGGCCTGGACTTTCATGATACATATAAGAAGCCGCTCAGCTGCTCAGAGATAAAAGCCATACCAACAGTATCGCCAAACTCCAGCATTTTATTGTATTCTCACAACTTCACTTTTTTTTTTTTTTTGCTAGTCCTGGGGCTTGAACTCAGGGCCTGGGCACTGTCCCTGAGCTTCTTTTGCTCAAGGCTAGCACTCTACCACTTGAACCACAGCACCACTTCCAGCCTTTTCTATGTATGTGGTACTGAGAAATCAAACCCAGTGCTTCATGTATGCTAGGCAAACACTCTACCACTTGAGCCACATTCCTAGCCCCAACTTCACTTTTTCTGGGGGGGGAAGGGAAAGGGGCGAGGTATGAATTCAGGGCCTTGAGCCATGCCTCCAGCAATTTTTGCCTTAGGATTTTGTTCTTTTGTCTAGGACCAGCCTAGACCGTGGTTCTCCTAAGCCAAGCCTCCCTCATAGATGGGATGACAGGTGTATGCCACTATGACTGGCTGACTTTGTTGAGATGAGATCTTACTAACTTTTGCCCAGGCTGGATGTAAACCATGATCCTCCTGATCTTGCTTCCCCAGTAGCTAGAACTATATGTATAAGCCACCAGGCCCATCCTACAACCTCATTTCTTAATATCTCTATCAGCACACTGAGGAAAAACTTCTTTGTGCGATATTTCACTGTGGGACTGCTGTCACATCAGGGGCAGGGAATGGCCAAGACTCTTTTAACGTACTTAGATACAATCTAGCTTGTTTCATAAAAGACTATTTTAAAGACATGATTAAGATATGATTATGCAATGCCTGAGGCTCAAGCCTCAGTGCCTGAGGCTGAGATTAGATTAGGGATCAAAGCTAGCCTGGGCAGGAAAGTCCATGAGACTCCAATAAACCACTCTACCAAGTGGTAGAGTGCTCACCTTGAGCTGAAGAGCTGAGGGACAGCGCCCAGGCCCAGAGTTCAAGCTCCCATGACAGACCAAAAAGACAAAGATGTGATTCCGATAAAGAGCCTTACGAGCCAATCATGGTAATGCATACCTGTAATTCTACTACTGGGAGGCTGAAGCAGGAGTTTAGGCCCAGTCTGGACTACAAAGTGAGATCGTATTAAAAAAAAAAAGTTTCAGAAGAAAAAAAAACCAGACTAACAAGGAAGAGCTCCTATGCCTAATGCCTGTAATCTTTGCTATTCAGGAGACTGAGATCTGAGGATTGCAGTTTGAAGCTAGCCAAGACAGGAAAGTCCATGTGACTCTATCTGTGGTAGAGCACCAACCACCCTCCAGTTAAAAAGCTAAGCCCCGAGTTCAAGCCCTAGTACCAGTGTGCACGCACGCGCACACACACAGAGAAGCTTTTTGCTGCTGTCCAGTTTGGATGAGCACCCAAAGTAACCAGGTCAGATGAGAGAAGGGTAAGAGGCCTTGTTCAGGATCCTCAGGTGCCAGAGGCTGTTCTGATATTCCCCTTCCCACTCTAGGAGCACCAGGGAGGCTCCATACTCCCAAAGGAAAACTGACCAAGATGTAAAATGGATTTGCTTTTATTAAATAGGTAAAGGGTCTCAATGGCACCACCCACATGATCTTGCTTTATGACAGAGAACAAACCGTGGCAGCAGATGCTGTGGGGCTTCCTACTCCAAGATCCTCCTCCTCCTCCGGCTCGTGGCAGTCCTCCTCTGTGTGCCAGGCTGCCCTCCCCAGGTCCTGCCCCTCTGAGTGTCCTCTCCACCAGCAGCTGGGCGTGGTCACCTGGAGGAGCTGCGCTCTTTGCTCACACAGTCGTCCTGCGAGGTGGTGTCCCCGTTGCCCACCACACTGCATGTCCTCCTCTTCTTCCTACGGTGCATCATCCCGTCGCCTTCAGACCCAGTCTCACCCTGGACACGAGGGAAAAAACAAGAACGGATGCAGCCCACTTCCCCACGCTGCGCCTGCTCTGGGGACAGCACCATCCTTCCTCCCAGAGCAGGGCTTCTGCCGGGGACCCCACTCACCCCACCTGGGGCACTGGGCTCCCCGAGACGTCAGTGCCCCCCACTGCTCTCTCACAGACCCCACTGCCACCTCCCATCTGGCATTCTGTAAGTGCAATATGGGCTCGGTACCACCACCACAGAGCAGAGTTGATGTGTCCAAAGTCAGCCTCGCCACAGAAGAGCAGACTGACGTGTAAGAGCCAATGACCACATCTGCTAAGGCTGCACGACCCTCCCACCAGCACTGATGGTGGCTAATAAAGCAAGCCATGGGAACTGTGCTGTGTCCAAGGCACAGGCTGAGGCCAGACTGCTGTGAGTCTTGGCCTATCACTGTCCTCTGCTAGCTATATGATCTCAGGCCATTTAGGTCACAACCTTCCCAATGACTAATACATGTCAATAACTGCAGCACTGAACAATTCACCAATGCTAAAAGCTGCAAAAGGGACAGAAGTCCCCCTGGACAGTGATGGTGGTGCCGGTAGCCCTTGGAGGAAGGTCTGGGATGGAAAGCTCATGTCTAAGGTCTAGAACAGGCAGGCTGGGCCTCACCTCTGAGTCTGAGTCAGATGAGCTAGAGCTGGAGGAGCTGGAGGAGTCACTGGAGCTGTCAGAGGCAATCCCTGTAGATTCTTGGAGGTCAACTGCATCAGCCAGGACTGCCAGCTCAGGGTGCTCCTGTTTCAAGATCCTGCAGGATAAGAGATGGAGTTGTTTTCACTGCAAGGATGGGCAGTGCCGCTGCACTCGGAAGAGTCAATTTGGAGGCCTGCATCCACTAAGAAAGAACCAGCTCCTAGCTCATCCAGAGGTAGACTTGGCCCACACTAAACCCCATGCTGGGAACAATCCCTCCCAGCCCATTGCCTGTGCCGAAGGCAACTTTCCCTTGAGTTAGTCTTCATTTTTTTTCCTCTTAGGAAAGCTGTTCCTATACCCAGTTTTGTTCCTAAACATTTTCTGGCCTTTTTTTTTTTTGTGTGTGTGTGGCAATACTCAGTCTTGAACTCAGGGCCTGGGCGCTGTCCCTGAATTTTTTGCTCAAGGCTAGCGCTCTACCACTTCAGCCACACCTCCACTTCTGGCTTTTTGATGGAGACAAGAGTCTTATAGACTTTCCTGCCTGGGCTGGCTTCATACCTTGACTCTTATTTCTCAACTTCCTGAATAGCTACAATTATAGATATAAGCCAACAGTGCCCAGCAGGCTGAGTTTTAAAAAACAAAACAAAACAGAATAAAACAAAAGTCTTTCTGCAATGCAGCACTGATGCAGGAGCAGGACTTGGGTAGATTCTACTTGTAAGAGCAGAAACATGAGGTCGCACAAAAAGACCATGCCCAGAGGAGCTGAACTAACCAGAGCAGCAGCCCTGCCTGGCCTCCACTGCAGACAGCGGCCAAGGATCTGCTGTGGAGCGACCTTACCACAGGACACAGTGGCTTAGGGGCACAGTGAGTGGGCTTCAAGTGCCCAGAATCCGGGGGAACAGAAGCCACCACCCTTGCTGGCGCTCTCAGCAGGGAGGCGGAATACTGATAGAGCCAGGATCCCTCTCTTACCCCGAGAGCTGGTCCCTCCAGGTCAGGGTTGGGACACAGTGGCACGGGGTGGCTGGGGGTGGCTTGCACTGCCGCTGCCCGTGCTGTATCTGGTCTGTGGATAAAAGGAGGCGCTAAGTCTCCAGGGGAGTCACCTCACAAGAACTGAAGGTAACAAGTGCAAATGGGGTAAGAAAAAGAAATATCAAACCAAGCCTACACAAAAGAGCTTCTTTTGCAAGTATTAGCTCTGAAAAACAAAAGAAAAAGAAAACTAAACAGAAACCACCCAGTCAGGAGCCTTCTGAGTGGCCTTGGGTCAAACAGGCAGAGCCTTACCCTGCCGTCTAAGGCTACCAACCCCCGACAGCAGGCTCTTCCTAGGGCCATCTGGGTTATCCACAGGTTGAGACAGAAGCCCCAAGCCCCGTTCACTTTCCCCAGGCCTCTCTAAACTCAATCGGCACTTAGTATTGCAGTGGTAGACTTATTTTATCTCTGGGGTAGGGATCAGAACACAGCAGAAGAAAGAAATAAAATGTCTCTCACCTATACCACTTCCTTGATAACTTTGGTCTCCCTCTTACCGTCTTGTGCCACACAACAGGGAAGTTGGTACTGCTGGCAAAATTCTGGGTGATGGCAATGGTAGTGTCGAGATTGAGGACAACATGCCACCAGCCCCCTGAAATCCAACAAATGCACAGTTCAGTGGGTGCTGGGCTGGGATGCCCTCACTGTATGATGTCCACTCCACACATCGGGGAGCTCAAAATCACACAATTCGGCTTATCCAATGCTTACATTACACCTTATTCAGAGACTGCAAAAGGGCAGAGCCACCCTTTCTAGGGCTGCTCTCCTGTTAAAAGGCACAGCTGAGCAACTGTGACAGACTATTTGGCTCACAAGACCTAAAATGTTTATTTTAACTTCTGGCTCTTTACAGAAACAACCTGTTGACCCCTTGGTAATCGAATGCTGTGACCAAAACTGGACAAAAAAAAAAAAAAAAAAAAAGGTCTGCAACTTCTAGGACACCTACTGTAAATCCCACGCTGCCATAAGCTCCATCTACCAAAGTGAGTACAATCAGTTAGCATGGGATTCCCACTCTACTGGGCCAGTACCACACTACATATAATCACAAACCCAACTTACAGAACTAGGTACAAACTACTACAGTAGGAAAGGATGCCAGTCAACTATCAGGAACAGACACATGCAGTGTAGAGAAAAGCTCCCTCTACACTTGAGATGCAGTTACCTACTACCCCCACCATGAGCCAGTGCTCACACGGGCCCTGCAGAAGGTTGTGGTGCAAGTGCAAACATTTTGCACACATGTGCACTCTAAATAGTTCCACTCCAAAATGACAAAACAAATTACTACAATCAAAGAAAGTACTTGGGGGCTGGGAAGGTGGCTTAGTGGTAGAGCGCTTGCCTTGCATGCATGAGGCTCTGGGTTCAATTCCTCAGCACCACATAAGCAGAAAAAATTTTTTAAAAAAAGCCGGAAGTGGCGCTGTGGCTCAAGTGGTAGAGCGCTAGCCTTGAGCTGAAGAGCTGAGGGACAGCACCCAGGCCCAGAGTTCAGGCCCCACGACCGGACTCAAAAAAAAGAAAAAAAGAAAGTACTTGGGGTGAGGGTGGGGCTCAGTTAGGATACTGACTTCCTTCCAGTTCATGTGTACCTGGCACAAAGACAGTCTCTCCTGGTTTTTGTAAGATTTCCAGGGGTTTGAATTCAGGTGGCCAGGTTGGAAGCTGAGTCCGGGGATAAATAACATTAAACCAGGTAATTGCTTCATCTTGTTGGTTCCCTCCTTCTTCTCGAGTCACCTTGATGAGTTCTCGAGGAGTGCTTGTAGGAAACAGGCACCAGCGCTTGTGGCCCTGAACCAAGGCATTCCAGGCGCTGGTTCCCAGAGGGTCAATGTGAATCCCGGTTCCAGAACGTGGTGGCCCCATCACAAACCACCTAGAAAATGGAAAACACTCAAGAAGACAATTTGACAACATATATATGGAAGTGTTAACCTTAAATTGCAAAAATCTCCCTTGTAGGGTCTGGGAAGTTGGCTCAGTGGTAGAGCGTTTGCCTTGCATGCCTGAGGCCCTGGGTTCGATTCCTCAGCACCACATAAACAAAAAAGAAAAAAGCCAGAAGTGGCGTTGTGGCTCAAGTGGTAGAGTGCTAGCCTTGAGCTGAAGAGCTGAGGGACAGCGCCCAGGCCCAGAGTTCAGGCCCCATGACCAGACCCCAAAAAAAAAAAACAAACTTGTAACAGCCGGGCCCTGGTGGCTCACGCCTGTAATCCTAGCCACTCAGGAGGTTGAGATCTGAGGATCGCGGTTCAAAGCCAGCCTGGGCAGGAGAGACCATGAGACTCCTATCTCCAATAAACCACCAGAAAACCGGAAGTGGTGCTGTAGCTCAAGTGGTAGAGCGCTCGCCTTGAGCTGAAGAGCTGAGGGACAGCGCCCAGGCCCAGAGTTCAAGCCCCACGACCGACCAAAAAAAAAAAAATCTCCCTTGTAGATCAATGGGTCACATTCTTTTTCTCTTTCTTGGTGCTGATAATGGGGCTGAACTCAGGACCTAATGCTCTTTCTTAGCTTCTGCTTAAGGCTGGCACTCTACCACTTGTGCCACACTTCCACTTTTGGCTTTTTGCTAGACTGCCTAGGTTGGCTTCAAACCTGGATTTTTTTATCTCAGCCTCCTGAGTAACTAGAATTACAAGTGTGAGCCATCAATGCCTTGTTTGTTAAGTTTTCAGTTTGACTGCATGTTTAAATTACCTGAGGAGCTCAGGAATCCTAATGTACAGATAGACCCTACTCCAATGATAAGGACGAATGTGACCATGGGCAGCCGGGGACAACTGTTGTTTTAAAGAGTATCAGCAGATAGAACTGAGGTGTGCAGAGATGCTATTTTTGATAAACCTGGTAACCTAACGGCTGAGCTGTGGAACTTTACCTGTAAGGGGGCCTGCGCTTCTCCCCTGCATATTGGAAAAGGTCATCGGTGAAAAACTTGGGCACCTTGTAGTCTTCCAAAAGTTTCCTTCTTTTGGGATGTTCACCATAGCTGCTGTCAAAGATGTAAAGGGGGCTGTCATCCCGCGTGCTCTCCATGTACTCAATGTAGTACTTCATCTTCATCTTCACGGAGTAGCCATCGTTATCCTCACCGCACTTGAACTTCTGGTTCCGGTATTTCCTTTTCAGGCGCTCCAGAGTCCATTTCTCTTGCGCAGACCAGCCCTCTTGGGCATTCAGCAGAACCACGGGCTTGTAAGGTTTTTCGTAGCGCTCCACAAATTCTCCCACCGACAACTGTAAGGCGTCGGCCCTTTCCACGTTATCCTAGGACAATGAGAAAAGATTGCGGCCGTTAAAAAAAACGAGGAAGAAGTCCCGTGGCGGGCGTCCCCACCCAGGAGTAATGAACACTGACACGTCTCGGCGACGAACCCCAGCCTGGCTTCTGCAGGGGGGGCGGAGGAGGGAGCCCCACGTGCGCCCGAGCACGTCGCACCCACAGCCGTCCGTCGGGGGAGGCGTGAGGTTCGCGAGTCCCACTTAGGGGCTCTGACAGCCGGGTCTCCCGCCGCCCCCCGTGGGTCAGGGGCCGCAAAGCGGGAGGAGGCGGGCCCCAAACTCGCCGAGCCCCCCCCCCCGCGCCCCGGCCCCGCGGGCGGCCCCGGCCCCCTCACCGCCACGGCCGCCGGGCTCAGCGGGAAGCTCTCGTAGTAGTTGTGCCGCGTCCAGTCCAGCGAGTCCTTGAGCTCGGGCCGGGCGCTGCGCTTGGCCTCGCGGATGCGCTTCTTGCTCTTGTGGTTCATCCTGCCGAGTCGCCGGCGGCCTCCCCCGCGGTCTCGGCGCGGCTCGCTCCCCGCCGCTAGCGCGCCCTCCGTGGCCCCGGGGCGGCGGCGACACCCAGACGCCCTGCGATCCGGCCCGGCGCCTTTAAAGCCGCCTTCCAGAAAATTCACTCTCCAGACACCTCCCGAGCTCCGGGTTGGGCGAGAGACAGTCGTCCTCCCCGCCCCGTCGCCTCTCGCGGTCCGCCATTGGCTTCGTCGTCTGCAGAGCCCGCCCTCACGCGCGCTGGGAGGGCGCCATGATGGGAAGGTCGCGCCCTCCTGGTTAGCGACACCGCCCGGCCTCTCCCTGCGGCGGCGTGCACGCCACTTCCGGCAGCACGTCGCCTCCCTACGGTCCGCTTCCGGCTAGGCGCCTCAGCCTGGTAGCACCGCCGCCCGCCTCTCCCGGCTGCGGAGTGCTCGCCACTTCCGGTCTCACGTCCCCTGCCTTCTGCCCGCTTCCGGTAAGGCGCCATGATGGGAAGGTCGCTTCAGTCTGGTGGCGCTGCTGCCCTGCGTCTCCCCGCTGAGGCGTGCGCACCGCTTCCGGCTGCTTGTCGCCTCCTCAGCATCCGCTTCCGGTCGGGTCTCTGGCGCGATCTTGTATTGTGTGTCTCTGGATCCCGCTCTTCTTTGCCTGGTCGTCACCCGCAGAGTTAAGGAACGGAGAGAAGCCCGTCTTGCCCCGTGGTAGCGGCCCGCGGGAGGCCGCGTGGCGCCCGGGCCGCGGAGACGCGAC